TTCAATGTTTCTGAATCACTTCTTATAATTATTTGTCGTAACACTTTCACATATCTAGAGAAAAACCTTAGCCGATGCTGGATTTTTTTCTCTCTATATAATTGATACCTTCTCGGATACAACAACAATGCGAAAGAATAAGAAAAAATACAACCGATTTTCTTATAGAACCTGATAAAAGTCAATATTTCTTCTTCACGAAACAGTGTTCTGTGTATTTTCTCACTTTATGTTGCTTATAGACGAGAGTAATATTATGTGTTCCATTTATATCTTCTTTCTTTCAGCTACTTTGTATATATATATCTCATAAAATAATACTTCTCTCTAACTAATAGCTGATACGTGCTCTCCTATCTTCAGAAAGCAAATAGATAACCAGTACATGTCTTGGTAATAAAAATGAGTAATCCTTACAATATCTTAAAAGTATTTGTTAAACCTTACATCAGACATATTTTCCTAGAATTCATCATCTTCAATCGGTTCTAGTAAAGAGTACATTTCATTACATCTAAATCAATGTTTAGATTATATTTTTGGAAGTTAATTTCACATATTCGAAATGGCAATCACCTTGAATCATCATGATGAATGGGATAAACAAGATTTCGAAGTCCTATAACCATTAACATCCAGATATCACTTCTGAATGAATGACAGCATTTGAAATGTAGATAATTTCTCTTCTCTAAATTCTTTTCGATATTAGACAGTTATAGGCGTTTGTAGCACAATTCAAACAGATATATGACATCAAATGTCTTATTGATGCACTCATGATCCACGAGACTGATTATTTATTTTCTTAATTTTAATTTTAATTTTTGATATGTTCATACCATTTAAGTTTCCTTATTGAGTGAAAAAATTAGCTAGAAATATTATATTTTTATGCGACAAGTAACGATTCGTAACATGATTTTGTATAAAGTCAGTCTGTAGAAATCTCTCTTCATTGAGGTATGAACAATGAGAGGAGTTTGTTTTCAAGTTTTATTCTGCTCTATGAGTTCAACTATAAGATATTTCGGAATATGTTGATCGCATTACTACGGTTATCGGTAAATGTTAAGTAGTATCTGCCAGAGTGAAAAAATTGATCGGTTTTGCCTTTTGCTTCAAAGAAAACTAGTTGTATAAAAATAAGATTTTTTTTAATAAACTATGGTCATATGTCTGAAGAATCGAGAAATTCAAAGGAGAAGCATATAAAAAAAGGCAACTTTCGATGTGGAATGGAATGAAAAACTCTTTGATACCACATTTAAACTATTTAAAAAATGATTCAGTCCTGCCAAAACGGATTGCAGTACTGTATTTTACTATACGTCAATTCTTTTTTTAGTAGGTGTATGATAGTCTTCCCATTTGAGGATTTCATGCAGTTTTCTTCTACTTATTTTAATAGTTAAAGCATTTCGATGATTGATCGTACTTAAAACTGCAATAATATGTTCCGCTATTTTAGAAGGATCTATAGTATTGATATTAACAAAAAAGAAGCCGAGTATGTGGTTTTCTGGAATCGATCTGAGATTACTAGGAAAAGTTTCCGATCTATATAGCTACATAGCTACCAGAGTAGAGTGTTTGTACACAATTTACTGGTGCTTCAGATGATACTATTTACAGATAAGTAAACAAATATTTTGACTAAGTTATTATTATTGGAAAACCGTTTGACTGAAGCAACAATGCAAGATTGTGATCTACATCGAAAGTGATCGAATTATTCTCCGAACAGTTAATTTGTCTTTATATGCACCCTCTTCCTTTGTTTGTGGCTTTCCGAAAACTGTAATCGTCAGGTTTTCTCTCCCAAACAACCCTATCTCGAAAATAAAGGTGCTAGAAGCTTTTAGAAGCTATGATTGGTTTCGCACTTCTCAACTCTAAACTCATTAGATCAAACTTCAAGCACATAGTTATTTATGTAAAATAAGCTGGATTGAGGCGAAAAATTGAACTGACACATTTTCTATCACATAATAAGATAATGTGTTAGTGACAAGGATTCACCGTCTCAGCTTTCTAATCAAATAAAACACATCTATCTATTGTGAGAAATCGTCATATAGCAAAAGAAGTCATATTGTGACAATGGAGTATAATCACGATGTTCACAATCAGAAATCAATCATTGCTTAACTCCTTAGATGATAGCTGTCAATAAATAGTCGTAGTTATATTCAGTGTGTAGTCTCGAATCCTTGTAAAAAAAACTTGTTCTATTCTAATTATTGTTGTTAACCAACAATGCATGACAGTCATGACACGATGACAGGAGTGCTGCAGCAAAGCGATGTTGCCTTTCGCTTGTTTCAAAATGGTACAAAATTATCATCATTATATTGTAATTGTAGCTGATAGCATTGCTTCACGAATTAGTAAGATAGGAACGAATACAGATTTGAACTCATCGTTAGTAGGAGTCCATAGTTCGTTTTGTCATTATATTACTTGCAGTCTCTCTTTCTTCAATCACTATCAGTTTGGCGAATCTCAACGAGGTTCTTATTGAAAGCTGCTTGTTGTCATTCAGATTATTTTGTAATGATCTGACTATTTCCTATAGAAAATAATCAGAATTATTGAAATCTGATATCATCGATTATGGATTATTAAATCTTGGGAATAGATCAGTCTTCATATATTTGTTCTTGTGTTATTTAGTCCCAAAATGTCAGTTCAATTTCAAAGCAACAGCTCAAAATCCGATCGAATATAAGTATGGTCCACGAGCTGTCACCATGGGCGACTTCAATAATGATACTTGGTTAGATATTGTGGTTGCCAATTATGACGCTGACAATATAGCCATATATTTTGGACATGGTGATGGTACCGTAGCAAACCCAATCAAGATTTCTACTGGTAAGGGCTCTGCTCCGTATATGATTGCCGTTGGCGATTTTGACAATGATCATCGACCGGATGTTGCTATCGCAAATTTCGGCACCAATAGTATCGATATACTTCTTGGATTTCAAAACGAATCTTTCGCAAACCAAATATTTCTATCCACTGAATCATCTCGTCCAGTTTGGATTCATGCAGCAGATCTCAACAATGACTCAGCAGTAGATCTTGTCACTGCTAATTATGGGACACACAGTGTTAGCATATTTTATGGGAATGGAGATGCAACCTTTTCAAACTCAAGTAATTATTCTACAGGCTATGATTCTTTCCCATTAGCAGTCGTTAGTGGCGATTTCAACAACGACAAACAGATAGATCTTGCTATCGCCAATTATGGTACTAATAATGTTGGTATACTCTTTGGAACTAGTAATCGTACTTTCACAAACCAATTCACCATCTTAACTGGCCCTAATTCAAACCCGTATTCGCTTGCCGTTGGCTATTTCAATGGAGACATGATCCTAGACATTGCTGTCACCAATTATGGAAATGACAGTATAGGTGTACTTCTGGGATATGGCAACGGAGCGTTTATGAGTCAAATGACATATTCCCTTCCTAATGCTTCTCCATATGCTATTGGCATTGGTGACTTCAACAACGACAATCGAATGGACTTAGTAGTCACCAATAATGGCTCTTACAATATAGCTTTACTTGCCGGATATGGCAACGGTACCTTTGCGAGCCCAACAATGTATTCAACTGGATCTTCTTCATCAATCTCCGTTACCATAGATGACTTGAACAAAGACAATCGCTCAGACATTGTCTTTATCAGCAATGATACAAACACCATAGGCATTATGGTTGACTATGACGAATTTTTTCCGATTCAAAAGACGTATTCAACAGGCAGAGAGCCATACTCTATAGAAGTTGGCGATTTTAATAACGATAGTCATCTAGACATCGTCACTGCTAATAACAATGAGAACACTGTAAGTGTCCTTCTTGGATATGGAAATGGCTCGTTTGCAAATCAAACAAAATATCCAACTGGCTTCGGACCACAATCTGTAGCTGTTGGTGATTTTAACAACGATACTCATCTGGACATCGTCGTAGCCAATACAAATAACAACACTGTAAGTGTACTTCTCGGATATGGTGATGGCTCTTTTTCAAATCAAACGAAATATTTGACTGAAGCCAGCCCAATCTTTGTAGCAGTTGGTGATTTTAATAATGACACCAGACTTGATATCGTCACCGCCAATTCTGGTGACAACACTGTAAGTGTACTTCTCGGATATGGTGATGGCTCTTTTGCAAATCAAACAATATATTCAACTGGCTCTCAACCATTTTCTGTAGCTGTCGGTCATTTTAACAATGATACTCATCTGGATATCGTCGTTGCTAATTATGATGGCAACACTGTAAGTGTTCTTCTTGGAAATGGTGATGGCTCTTTTTCAAATCAAGTTCCGTATTCAAGTGGCTCTGGACCAGTCTCTGTAGCTGTTGGTGACTTAAATAACGACAACGTCCTGGATATCGTCGTAGCCAATACGAATGACGCCACTGTAAGTGTTTTTCTCGGTATGGTAATGGCTCGTTTGCAAATCAAAAGACATATTCTACTGACTCTCAACCAACATCAGTAGCTGTTGGTGACTTTAATAATGACACCAGACTTGATATCGTCACCACCAATTTTGGTGGCAACAATGTAAGTGTACTTCTAGGAAATGGTGATGGTTCTTTTGCTAATCATACGACATATTTAACCGGCTCCGGCCCAGACGCTGTCGCTGTTGGTGATTTTAACCACGATACTCAAACGGATATTGCCGTTATCAATTTTAATTACAACACTGTGAGTATACTACTTCGATATGACAGAGGTGCTCTGAAAGAGAAAGTCACGTTTGCTACTAGCGATGGTTCGCGTTTGCGAAGCTTTGCCGTTTTTGATTTCAATAATGACAATGTATTGAATATCGCCGTGGCTAATTATGGCACTGATAACATAGGCATCATTCTTAGATATGAGAATGGTACTTTTGGAAAGCAAATGGTGCTCTCAACAGGCTTAAATTCTCATCCGTACTCAATCGCTATTTATGATTTCAATAGAGACGATCGAGTAGACATAGCCGTGGCCAATTATGGCGCTAAAAATCTTGTTACATTTCTGGAAAATGAGAATGGAGCATTTGAAAATCAAGCAAGTTACGGTATAGACTTCGATTTCTCTCCGGTGGCGATTGGTACTAGTAGTTTGAATCAACATGAGCGTTCAGAAATTTTCGTTGCATATGAGGATATCGATCATATAGATGTGTACACTACATACAACCTTGGAACTTTTGGTCATGACATTAAATATTCAACTGCTACTTGGCCTAACTCCCTAGCTCTGGGTGATTTTAATAAAGATACTTATCAGGAAATCGTCGTTACTAATATGGGAAGCAATACTATCGGTGTTCTTCTTGGGTATGGTGATGGTTCTTTTGCAAAGCAAACGCAATATTCCACTGGTTCCTGGCCGTGGTCTGTAGATGTCGGTGACTTTAACAACGACACTCATCTGGATATTGTCGTAGCTAATACAAATGAAAACACTGTAAGTATACTTCTCGGATATGGTAATGGCTCTTTTGCAAATCAAACGAAATATCCAACTGGCTCTGGGCCACGCTCTGTAGCTGTTAGTGATTTTAACAACGATACTCATCTGGACATCGTCGTAGCTAATACAAATAACAACACTGTAAGTGTACTTCTCGGATATGGCGATGGCTCTTTTTCAAATCAAACGAAATATTTGACTGACGCTAGCCCAGTTTCTGTGGCAGTTGGTGATTTTGACGGCGACACTCATCTGGACATCGTCACTGCTAATTACGTTGCGAACACTGTAAGTATACTTCTCGGATATGGTAATGGCTCTTTTGCAAATCAAACAAAATATCCAACTGGCTCTTTCCCAATATCTGTGAGTGTTGGTGATTTTAACAACGACACCCAATTAGATATTGTCGTTGCTAATAGCGCTGATAACACTGTAAGTATCCTTCTCGGATATGGCAATGGTTTTTTTGCTAATCAAACGACATATTTAACGGGTACTGGCCCACAAGCTGTCGCTGTTGATGATTTTAACAACGACAACAAACTAGATATTGTCGTTACTAACTGGGACGATGGTACCATGAGTATTTTGCTTGGACATGGTAATGGTGTTTTTGAAAAACAAATGATATATTCCACTGGCATTAGTCCTTCTTCCGTAGCTGTTGGTAATTTTAATAAGGACACCCAATTGGATATCGTTGTCAGTAATGGAAATGGAAAAAGTGTTAGTGTATATCTCGGATATCCAAAAGAAGGTTTCTTCAACCAAATGAGACTTATAACTGGCAATGGATCTCGCCCCAAGTCGTTTGCTATTGGAGATTTCAACAAGGATGGTCAAATGGATGTTGCAGTGGCGAATTCAGGCACGAACAATATCGGTATTTTTCTGAGATATGACAATGGTTCTTTCGCAAATCAAATAACCTATTCAACTAGATTTTCACCGTGGTCAATAGCTATTGGTGACTTCAACGACGATATGATACTTGATATCGTTGTTGCAAACCGTGATAGTAACAATGTTGGTGTGTTTCTTGGACATAGAAATGGATCTTTTTCAAGTCAAAAGGTGTTTATGACTGGCTTTAACTCTCAACCAAACATGGTTGCCGTTAGCGATTTCAATAATGACACTTTGCTGGACATAATTGTTACGAATTATGGTACAAACGATATAGGTGTATTGCTGGGTTATGGAAATGGCTCGTTTGCAAATGTCAAGTTGTTTTCGACTACCTATGGAACTCATCCATTCTCAATTGCTGTTGGTGATTTAGACGGCGATAGAAAGTTGGATTTCATCGTGGCTAATGAAGGTGCTGAGAATTTAAATACTTTTTTACAAACTTGCTAATATTGCCATTCTAGACTTGAGTGCTTTCTATCGATTCACTATTTCTAATTTTTACTTGGTACTACTAATATTTCTTCTGACTGTTTTTTGGTGTGAGGTATGCTGAAGTGTAATAAATTTTATATAAAGACAAAAAGTATGAAGTGCAACTACCGAAACGCGTTTCAATTCAGTAAAGAATCTTTTCAGATGAAAGGTATGGATGTATCAAGGACACCATAGCGTCTTTCGATCTTACTCTGGGTCCTCATCCGATGTTTAGAAAAAATGTATGTTTTCATGCGATATTGTGGTCATAGAGAAAATGGGTAATCTATAATTTGCAGCTGTCGTATTGCCAAATCGCGTGCGGAAGGAGGGAAAAGGTATTTGTATGTAGCATCCACATTCTTTTGTATCATCTCTTTCATTGTAACTTATTGTAGCAATTGAAGTATCATATTCCTAGTTTTCATAGTTTTACAGCAATATGGTTTGTAAATAGTTTCACTCTGATGAACCTAAGTTTTGTAGATTCCCGCATTTTCTTGTATTCTTTTTTCGATCGCATGAGTGATGTAGAAAGATCGCCAACCTGCAATAACGTTGTGTCTGTCCGTGGCAGGACTAAAGTGAATAAAATACTTATTATTTTATTTATGTAGAGATTATAACTTGTAAATTATAAGTATATAACATGTGATTTACAAACATAAATCCATTAAATAATTTTATTATAGACATTTGCGCATTTACATTTTAGAATAAAATTAACTTAAATTAGAATTAAAGTCAATTCTAGAAGCCAATATTTATTCACAAGTAACGCTCGTCCAAGTGACTCGCTTGACCCTCGACTGTATTTTCGACTCTTTGATGTTTTATAGTGCTTTACAGTCTTCAACACAGCTAGTACCAAATATTTCACAAGAGTGAGTAAATGTTTGTACGTTAGTATTAGCATCAATCGCGTTGTGCACAATGGTATGTGGATCCGGATGATCATGTTTGTCACGAATACATCCAATCAATTTGACACCCTCACACCGATACTCAACAACAATCTAAAGAACTAAACTATGGCGGAGATACTCACATGTACCCAACCAAAAAGAGTTTTTATTTAGTTTGCTGAGAAGCAATAAAACAAAAAACATTTGGGACAATTTTGTGAAAATTTGCCATATTCTTTAAAGCTTCTACTAAAAATCCATTCACTTACTAACACGTGAACTAACGATACTGTTTACTAGACAGGTAATTTGAATATATCAGTATACAGGCAGATACTTGAATTAATACAAAGAAAAGCATATACCAAGAGAAACTCTAGTTTATTTCATTCATGTCCACTGCTGATACAACAAATATAAAATCTTCGAGTAATGCTTTTCGTCAGATGAATTATTTAGCTATTGTGTCTAAACATATAAACCGTTTCTCATCCTTGGCTTGACATAGTTTTTCAGCTTTTTGCATCTGATATTGCTTAATCAGACCCATTGAACCTTGGATATTGATGATTATTCAATGAATCCCAATATCTTGAATCGGTATTTCTGCAGATTACCTAGTGCAGCAGCTAGTCGCTCGTTGGCGCCACTCATGACTAGCTGCTGCCATCTTTGATCTTATTTTACCATGACATAAATCTTTTCACTTAAACCCTAACAAATGCCAGATTAGTCTTACTTAGAAAACCGTTAGATTTTGCAAGCTTTTCCAAAACAGCTATTACCACATTTACCACGATTTTAACAACAAGTAACGCTCGTTGCTGTGCGATTCGCTCAACCCTCGACCGAAGAGTTTAGAGCATCGATGTACTCATATAAAATTGGTAATTCGTCCTAACGTTTTGATTAAATGAAATCTTACAACGATATGTTTCTTAAAATTTTGATTTGTATATCGCGACAGTTAGAACAATATCTTGAAATGCTCTGAGATTTCATATGGAAACAATGCGTCTTTCAAGTAAAACTTGTTGAGAATTTGAAACAGCGATCACTCGTATTAGTATTAGTTGATAAAACTGTTTGCTAGCAAAAGTAGTATTCT